TCTTTCCAGCTTCATTTGTGGCAGAACGAGGCTTTGATTATGTCAGAGCATCTCCTAGCCTCCATAACCTTGGTAGTGACTCCTTTAATTTAATTGGTGGAGGTCACCTTCATTCATCCATGGTGCAAGTTGGGGGGATGTTTTCCTGAGGAGAGTTGCTGGGATAGGCATGACCCTGGCCCCAGGAGTAGGAGATGGCTCCTTCCTTTGGAGTAATGTAGCATGTCGGTCGGGCACCTGTAGGCAGCATACGTCCCATATAGAGCTGGGTCTGGTCTGGAATCAATTGCAAGGATGCAGTGGGGTGTGTACAAAGCACTTTTTTTTTTTTTTTTTTTAAAATTTCTTTTCCATTTGACATAATCTCGTTCAGTTGGTTCCATTTAAAACTTTAAGTGTCCTCGTCTGTAGTCTACCAAGACTTGGGGTTTTGAGTTTACAAGGCTTGGGTAAGAGCTCACTAGGGTGAGTTTGGGGCAGATCCACCTTAAAACTGTGGTCAGCTTGGAGTTTTTTCCCCAACAGTTAAAGAAGTTGTAGCTATGCATCTGTCAGCCCCATTTAGCAGTGATAGGGTTGTACACTTGTACTCTTCCTCAGCTGTACCAACCCCTCATCAGATACCATCACAAATTTCTGAACCTCAGAGTATCACCGTTAAGTGAGTGCCTACTGAGGTAGCACAGTTACACAGTTAAGAAAAATAAAACAAATATTCTTTTTTAAACATTTTTAAACAAAAATAGATAGATAGATTTAGTTTCTTCAACCACTTCAGAGAATGTATGAGTTTCTCTGCCAACTTAAAGTCATAAAATGCAGATCCAGGAGTAGATTAAGACGTGGCAGTTTGTAATAAACTATAATGCCCAAAAGCACACCTAGACAAAATTCCTTAAAATAAGCCATTTCCTTCCTCTAGCTTGAACAATAAAGACATTGTAAAAAGGAAACTACATAAAATGATTTGTATTAGTGCAGTGATCTCTTCCATTACTGTAGGACTTGAAAAATGTATCCAACATTATCAAGGGAGCGATTTACACTTTTAAACCAGTGGTCAGTGTAAAAGATAACAACTGAATAGAGTCTAACAAAGCCTGGCTTAAATTCTCTAAGCTAGAGGAAAGTTTTAATTAATTGACTCCTTGGTACAATGCTGTGCTTGGGGACACTTGCTGAAGAGGGATTTTAGTAGAAGTTGATGGAATATCGGCCAATATTAACAGTTACCTTGAAGAATAGTAAAGACAGTGAGTCACTTAATGATTCATGTTGGATTCATGCTGAGTTCAACGTCTGAGTTCCGATCTCTGTACTTTTTGCTCATCTAACCTTGCCTATTTTATAGATGTTAGAGAAAAAAGAGGGCAGTTATGATTAGTGAAGCTGTTTTCACAGAATCTTTTGATGCTTCAGCACATATTTTCATTCTGTAGCAGTATGAAAGTAAAAATGTATTACTTTTTGTGGAAGAGACTGTTTAGAAAAGTTAAATTCTATCAACACTAGAACTAAAGAAGCCTAGTTTCCAGTGGATTTGCATCATGAGATTGACTGACCTTGGTATCTAAACACATCGAGCTCTGACTGAGAATTTTCCCAAGACTGAGACATATGTGAAGTGTCTCTTTTTCATTTATACCCCTGCAGATTCTCTGACCTGTGGTAACAGTTCAAGTTATATTGCAGAATGTCCCTCTTTTTAATGAACCACATAATTTCACAAAGTTGTTAGGAACCTAACATTTTTGATAGCTCTTCTTTTTTTCAGATTTGGTAGAAATTAGCTCTTGGGTTTACTACAGTTGAGGGGGAGACAGGCAGGCATGCTCACACAAGCGTAATCATTTCCTTGTGTTCTTAGGAAATCAGGTCAGAGATATTCCAAAAGAGTACATTCTCAATCATGATCAATCAGTAATCTGCAGCCTTGCTGTGACAGCTCTGACAAATTTTACTCTGTAATGATTACATGATCTCTTCTGGGGAAAGACTGACAATCTACTCTCTTCTCTCCTTTAACATGATATTTCGGTGATACCAAGTGCCATGAGAAGATTTAACTTTTCTAAGTTCCAGATTACTGAGAGGATATTGCAGTATTGCCCCTCTGTCCTCTATATGGTTGATTTCCACAGTTCCCTAAATTCAAGGGTCTATTAAATCTCATTGAAGAGGTCAAAATTGTAATCATAAGTAAATTTAAAGGGTAAAATTAAAAAATCCTGTGGAAACAGCTGAAAAGGAATCCTCATATATTTCTGGTATAGTAACAGATTTGTCTAAGGCCTAGGCTTTTATTTTCATGGTTATTTGTAACCCTAACAGATAATGACTACTATACTGTTAATTAAGCTGTTTTCATGACTAAGTTCCTTTACCAAAATGCAGAAGTTTGTAAAAGGAAGAAGAGGTGCATTTCACTGGACATTGAAGAACAGTGGGAATTGGACTGTGTTCAATGGCACAAGGAATTTAATTTGACTCAATGACTTATTTTTGTATCTGTCTGTCTGGTTTTGGCAGAGATCACTGTTTGCTTGTAGGTCTGGGAAATAAGGCTCAAAGTCCTTTTAGTCGGCAGCGTTTGTGCTTTCTGCCTTTTTTTTTTTTTAACGCTGCAGATGAGAGCTGTTATTTGTGCCTCGTTCATGCAGCAGCAGGCTTTGACGTGAGCTTATAGGACAATGCAGTGACAGCAAAGGCCTCCTTTACATTGCTCAAAAAAAACTGATTGGAAGGGTGTGGCCACTAGAAGCGGCCACTAGAAATAGGTATTTTCAAAGGGTAAAAGCCTACGCTGTAGAAGAATGCCTTCTGAGAATGCAGAGTGCATGAATCAATATCTGACCATCAGCAGCCCCACTAGAGTGGTCTGGTATCTCCCAGCAGGAAAAAGCAACTCTTCTAATGTTAGTGTCCCTCAGCTTTTCCAAATGCCATACTGCTCCTGGAGTGTTTACTTCTGCTGAACTATAGATGTTTTTTTCACTGTTGAGCGCTTTCTG